TATTAATAATAATAATGATAATAATGTGTATGTCATTTCCAGGTCACTACTACATAGGGGGCAGATGTGGCTGATTGTTTAGAGCAGTTGTCCTGCAGTGGAAGAGTTGGGGGGTTGATTCCACCAGTAGTTATATGTTGAATTATCCATGAGCACGACACTGAACCCCTCATTGCATCTGATTTGTCTCCTATTGGTGTATGAATGTGATGTAAAGCACTGATTAGTCTCTATAGAATGATTTGTTCAGATTATCTTTCTAGAGATCGTGTAGAGTGCTGTATGAATGGGTAAATGAGGGCACAGATTTTGTTGTAAAGAACTTTGAGTATCTTGATTAGAATGACAGGTGTTAAATAAGTGCAGTCCATTTACCATTCAATTTAATATAAAATATGTTATGTTGGTGTGTCAAATGGGCAGCACGGTGGCGCAACTGTTAGAGCTGCTGCCTCTCAGCGAGCAGGTCCTTGGTTCAAACCCCGGTCCAGGGGCCTTTCTGGGTGGAGTTTGCATGTTCTCTCCGTGCATGCGTGGGTTTTCTCCGGGTGCTCCGGTTTCCTCCCACAGACCAAAAACATGCATGTTAGTCTGATTGGTAACTCTAAATTGTCCCTAGGTGTGAGTGAGAGAGTGAATGGTTGTTTGTCTCGTTTGTCTCTATGTTCCTGTGATGGACTTGCGACCCGTCCAGGGTGTACCCCGCCCCTCGCACAGTGATTGCTGGACATGGGCACCAGCGACCCCCGTGACCCAAAATGGAATAAGCGGGTAAAGATAATGGATGGATGGATGGATGGGTGTGTCAAATAAATTGCCTGGTAAAATATTTAGACGTCTATAGTTATGTCATAAAAATGTGGAGATGTGCAAAGGGTTTGCAAACTTTTTTCAAGACACTGTATACATGCACATAGCAGGAAGGACAAAAACAAACATGTAATAGATTATAAACAACAGCATACAGTAACATTTTAAAAGGAAATTGTGTAGAAGAACAATGGAAAGAAAACTCAGCTTATTTTCTAGAACGGATTAGAGTTAATGTGTTTCACTCATAAGAAAACATATTGATGAGAATGACACAGATCATGTAAGCATTATTTGTGCCATCTATGGGTGGTTATCATCTTTGGCTCAGCAGTGCTGGCACATCAGCACTCTCCTGAGTCCGAAGTGGTGACAATGCCAAAAATGTCCTTCCTGCTCCAAAAGTAAAGTTGGAGCACCCCCCACATATGGGCAGCCAATATAATTGGAGTGACATTAACAATACACTTGCACATTATGAAGGAGCACTCAGGTGTAAAAGTTGACTTTTATGTGGGCACCAGAGGACCTCAATTAATCACAGCCAACTTGCACATTTCTAAAACTTGTCGGCATGTAATTTCAGCTGAAAAGGTGGCATAATCACATTCCTGAGTCCTTGAGCCTTTTTTATTTTTTTATTTATTTTTCAAAATAGACTAGGTAGCTATTACGGAGAACAATGGAAGCTGAAAATTGGTCAGAACAGCAATAGTGGTTATTTATGCCTAAAACACTGAATGATGTCATAGCTCTTTGATAGTTTCTTAGCATAAACATAGTTATTAAGACATACATTTCCTGATGCCCACACAATATTATACCACTTTGATCTTATAGTACAGTCTTGTGTATGTTATGTGCATGTGCTGGGGATGGGGTTGTTCTGGCTCATGGTGCACAGCCATGTGTGCTCCTTTGTGGGCTTCCTGACTCCCAGCCTGGCTACAGATGGCATAGTGTCTCAGCGGGCTGCTCAGCAGGCACACTGACACAAACCAATGGCCACATGGATCTAAGGGGACACACACATGCACAGTTGCACACAAAACAGCAAATGGACATTCACATGCACACAAGCTCACATGACTAAGGCATGTGCATCTGTTTCAGTTTAGTTAGAATTCACATTTGTACCCTGATAAATTATGTAAAATTATCCCCCGAGTCATTTTTGCTTACATAGAACTATTCTTAAAAACCGTGTCATGTTGGGTCAGGCAGCACACACTAGCAGGTGTCTGTGCCACAGGGGTGCATGCTAACTCTGAGGGTAGGACAACTGGCCCAAGCACCTGACAGGGAGAAAACACATGAGGTCCTGACACAGTAAATAAGATATCAGTAGGAACACAGCCAATGTTGTAAATATGTATAATTGTGTCTGTACTGGGAGATGAATTTCATCAGCTGGTGAACAACAAAAAAAAGTTGATAATGTAAGTTGAAATGTTGGGAAATTGTTGCCTATTTATAATATACAAAGAGTTAAGAAATAACATAAAAGTACAAAACCAGTACTACATTTTACATGAGTATGACCTCTTGGGTCTTTAAGCCCCCCTCCCCCCCCCCCCCACACACACACAATGGCACATTATAAAACAGCAGAACAAGCTCATATTGTAGAGATGAGACGTTCACAAACAAGCCAGATCATTTGAACATCTAAGAACAAAGTTTCAGACAGTAAAGAGCTGTTTCTAGCAGACCAGGAGGTGAGAGGAGGGGTGTGGAGGGGGTTTTGCACTTGACAGAACATGGGGTATGGCCCTGATCATGACACTGTCATTCAAAAGTTGAATGGCTCTGTGAAGAAAATGGATCCTAAAGATTTGGTTCCCTTCAAAGATCCATATATCCAATTTGTATTAAATGTATATCTTATAAGTGGCCTAATGTCTAACCCTTGTTGATGGGCGTGGCTTAAAATGTGGCAGTTACGTGGATTTGGTGCTGAGAGCACAACCAAATATTTGGCTATCCCTCTGCTCCAAATATAGAAAAATACATAAATGAAAACAATACCAAAGTTCATGCTAAATAATCCAGGTAAAAATCCAACAATGTTCAGTCAGGTCACCTGGACGGTTTATTTTTTTGCTGAGACGTTTCGTCCTTCACTATGTTTCAAACTTCACAAGCTGATTCTGACAAACAGCACACTCTCATAGTGGGAAAAAAAAAAAAAAAAAAGTTTGGTGTTTTAGTGTTTGGTGTTTTGAACCACTTTGGCATGGCTGCCTCAGAGGAGTTGAAAAGGGGAGAGAGGGAGGGCCCCGGCAGCCATCACCAACATTTTTTTTTTCACTATAAGAATGAGTTGTTTGTGGGAATCCATTTGTTGGTGACTCCTCAGATTGAAGAAGTCCTTTGGATGAAGGATGAAAATGTCTCAGCAAAAAAACAAAACTGAAACTGTCCAGATGACCTGCCTGAACATTGTTTAATTAAAACAATATTCTTAACCAGATTTCTTCATTGATTTGGGCCCTTTTGATGACAGATTATATAGATGACAATGCTCAACTAGTACACTGGTTCACCATCATCTACATCACTGTGCAGTATTTTGTTTTGCTTTTCTTACTGCATTCCTTTTTTCAATTGTTTTATTTTAAGTCAGGGGTATAATTTGCTTAAACCCATTCGTCTTGTTGACCCTCTCTGCCTTTTGCTTTTGCATCACATTCAGCTTCTCATTGTTAATTAGTTGTTTTCTAACTTTATGATGAATAATTCCAAAAGTCATTCTGTGTACTACAAGATGGCTTTTGGATACTACTAGTGGTACTTGCATCACAAGTTAAAAAGCATAGCATTAGTTAATTTAACATACCAGTATATACTTCTGTAACATTGGCATTTTCAAGTTTTAAAAATCATATTCAGACATATTTAGAACAAGGATTTGTCTTTTAACTATTGACCATAGATTTAGTGATGTTAAACAGTTTTTACAACAGCAGGACTAATTATGTTTATTCTACTTACCTCTGCAGTAGGGAAGTGGAAAATCCCAAGCTGCAGTACCCGTTGAAGTGGCGAGGCAGGACAGGATGGTGTGACCCTCCAGCATATAGCCGGGACTGCAGCTGTAGCGTATTTTATCCCCAATATTGAAACTGGACCCCTGCTGGTGGCCATTTATTAGCTGTCCAGGATTACCACAAGTATAACTGGGCAAAGCTGGAGAGAAAAGGGAGATAATAAAAATAAAAAAATTAGAAAGGTAGTTCATCCTGAAATGGGTGGCACTGTATAATTTATTCTTAACAAGTTGTGACTCAAGAATGCTGTCCATTGAAAATTTACCGACCTGTTGTGTTACTAAATACATCATTTCAGTAAATTAGCAACTTTAGAACTACTGATAAACTGTCAATCTATTTAATTTGTATGAACTTTTTTTATTAATTATACGTTTATTATTGTTAAAGGAAGAGCTGATCAGACTGAACACTCTGAAATGCTTGCAGGTATTGCACGTGTAAGTACAACAATATGCACACATATACAACTCACTTGATTGTATTTTTATGAAAATCAAGCTATTCAGTCAATCTCAGCACTGAACCTTCCAGCTTCAGCCTGTATGTGTGGGTAAAAGATATAATGAAGCATTGCCTTCCTCTTCAATACAACCACATTAGGATTTAGTATATAATACACCTGTATGTGTGGTAGCTAATTGATTATACTGTTGCACTGGAGTTAATAAAACCCAATGATTCTGACCAGTGACCAAAAATGTGTCACAGCTTTACATGTATTCTGTCACCATGATGAAAGGACTGGTTCCAAACACATGTTCAGGGACCAAACCTTAATGTGTGCTGGAATTTAGAAAAAACTCCAGTTCCTCCACTGGGAGAGGGTTGAATAGAAGCCAGAGTAAAAAGCAAACAAACAACAATTAAAAAAAAAAACTACAAACAAACAAAACACATCAACACTACTCAATAACAACATGGTACTGGATACACATTCATTTTTTTTTTTGCTTGTTTTTTGTTTTTTGTTAAATTTAGTTCAACAATTCACTAGCAAACATTATTTTCTCTGCCTGTAAAACTATTAAAGGTATTTACTGAAAAATGTAATTCTCTATTTTACTATACGTTATAATGAGTACTATACAATTTAATTATTAAATTCACCTGATGACAAGGTCAGTCAACGTATCTATAAAGTGTTTCTTGAGTTTATACCCAGCTCTCAGAACAAGGTCATCAATTATATCAGAAAAAGAAAGAAAGAAAACACACACACACACAAGCATGGTGTTTGAAAAGTATCAGAGTATATGGTTCATCACTTTGGTTTATTTGTTAAGAATTCTGCTTCATGCTGAACAAAACAGATGAGCTGAGCTGGAATTAAATCATCAAGTTCAAGTCAATTGTATTGTCAATCACATCACATTTGGTACACGAGGTGGAACAAAATTATGTACTCATGGTCCCAGTTACACCCCAAAATAGCAAAAATATAAAGTGTAAAAAGAAACGGTATATAACGACCTAAGATATAAACTAAGATATACGCTAACCGAACAACAAACGGTACGCTAAAAGATCTAAGCTATACACTAAACACTAATAATGTAAAACAATACGACATAACAACAGCAGCCCGAACATGAGTCTATGGTAAGCAGAAAGGTATGAATGAGTACAGCAGCATAAGATAATCAGCAGCATTACATAATCAGCAGCATGGGATCAGCAGCATAGATAATCAACAGCACAGATAAGTCACATATCACCAATTAAAGTGGCATTACCAGTGATATTGCATATCAAACACTTAAAGAATTGGGGGTGTGCAACCTAAGCATTTATTTCACTAATTTCACTACTATGATATGAGTGATGGCAACAGGTCATAAATTAACTGGTCAGAGAATTATAACTGTAGATAGCCATGTTGGCCCAATACAATGACATAAAAAAAATGAATAATTGAGAGACACTACAAATACAGTAGTAGTACAGATAGTAGAGATAGTACTTTGTAGTTATACATTAAATGTGGCTCGTACAGACAGTTTGAAATAATCTCCATTTAATTATTTCTCGTGAAATTTTGAACAAATGCATGTCACAAGCTAAAGCACTAAAGCCCTAAAGCAATGTTTTGGAAACCAAAAGTAGAACTTCACAAAAGTACTTGGGGTTCTTTCAACAGTTTGTTATTTTTTATATATTTTTTTTTTTTCAGAATGCACAATTTTTGAGCTATGGAATTAACCAGCAATGAAAAAAAAAATAGTGCAACCCATTTTTATTTATGTTTTGCTTTGTTCTCTGATAAAAAAAAAGAATAAAGAAAAACAGGTTTGTGAAGTTTATGTTCAACCAGTCCCAATTATAAACCCTCTGACAGGTGGCAAGCATATCATTTATGAATGTAATGCAACATTCTGAAAACAAAGGAATCCATCCATCCATCCATCCATCCATCCATCCATCCATCCATCCATCCATCCATCCATCCATCCATCCATCCATCCATCCATCCATCCATCCATCCATCATCCATCCATCCATCCATCCATCCATCCATCCATCACATTATCTTTACCTGCCTTTTCCTTTTCAGTTTGTGGGGGTCACTGGTGCCCATGTCCAGCTATCCCTGTGCGAGAGGCAGGGGACACCCTAGACAGGTCTCCAGTCCTTCAGAGGGACGCATAGAGACAAATGAGACAAACAACCATTCACTCTCTCACTCACACCTAGGGACAATTCATCTATTCAGCCTAACATGCATGTTTTTGGTCTGTGGGAGGAAACTGGAGTACCCGGAGAAAACTCACTCATGCACGGAAAGAACATGCAAACTCCACCCAGAAAGGCCCCCCAGCTGGGATTTGATCCACAACGTTCTCTCTGAGAAGCGACAGATCTACCAACTGTACCAGTGTGCAGCCCCCAACAGGAAATATGTGACAAATTCTTATTTGGTCATCTGCAAACACTTTTTTTTTTTCCTTCAGAGATTCTTAAAATGTAAAAAGAAACACAAGCAACTAACTTAGGGCTGATGACTCCAGCTGCACAGTGTACTTCCTGCTATACCATCAGTGAATTCATAGCAGGTGTTTTCCATCATCTGTTGAAGCCAGAACACCTGCTCACACACCAAGGATACCCTAAATGACTCAGTGCTGATTTGCTTTTTAAAGTACCTGGTTAGTACTTGGGTACTTTCCCTCTGGCCTAATCTGATTTATATTGATAAAGTGAGTTGTCATTTTCAAGCTCCACTGTGCTGTAGCCTTTATTTTTTATCCACCAAGGCTACCTTGTTACGGCTTGTGTTTCATCACCACCAGATCAGCACAGGCTCAAGGACACAGATTAGCATATTAGCTGCCAGGACCAAAGCTTAAATGCAACAGCATGGTGACAAGGGGTTTGGGATTTATCCATACAAGTACCTGCTTATTCCCATTACTCTTAAGTCTATGCACTATGTTGATGAGGGGAGGGTACACATGGGTAAAATGAAATAAGAGTTTGTTGAGGGAATAAAATAGATAACTTTCTCTTGACCTCTCAATAACAAAGTGTGACAAACAACATTATTACTAATGCATTCTGTTTATTTGTATTAGTGGCCAGGCCCTTAGATTGTATAAGCTCTCTTCTTGCTATATTTCTGGCATATATAAATGGAACAGAGTGGTTATTAATAGTATTAGTTACACTCTTTATTTGATTAGCATGACAAATCAGATTCTCCATTTCCAGTTTGTGCAAAATCCCCTGACTATGAATACAGACTTGTGGAAGGAGAAGGTTTAGTAATTACTGCACATGATATTGATGGATAGATGAAAATGAGGAACATTTGGCAGAGTGATTTGAATGCCTTAAAACTAACCAAACCCCAAAACATTATTGGACTAGAGAAGCTCAAGTAGACATGCAGTTGCAATATGGGCATGTGTAATAGTATGTGTGCATGCATTTATAAATCATCCCCGTCACACTTCATTTCTGGTAGAGTTTTGGCAGTAAATTAGGTTTAATGGAGTCATTACATGTCCAATCCCCCAAACAGGACTATGCCTGCAGCGCAGAGCTGGCAACTATATTTTCTTCAGCTTTTATGTGATTTATCAATATTCTTGTTATTCCCTTCGCTTCAGCTTATCAGTTGCTTAGAAAAGTGCCTAAAAGTGGTGCAGCTGCTTCTCAATGGTATTTTTTTTTTCCTGTAGCAAAATACATTTTTTATAAAGTAATAGAGCAGATCATTAAAATGTGTCTATATCAGCTAATTCAGCAGTATAAAAAAGAACAACGAACATTGAAGTATTTAGAATAATATACATAACACATTTAGGTTCATGTATTTATTTGATGTAAAGAAAAAGATAAATGCAGGAAGAAGATACATAAAAGAAAATGTACTTCTTAAAAATCCAATTTTTGTTTGTTATCATTATGCATTAGAACATGGCTCAAAGCATAATAGTTATTGTTTGACATCTCCACTGGCTGCAGCAGAGTCTTACGCACACAGTCAAATAACCAGGCCTTCAAATACAAAGTATAAAAAACCAAGCAACCTATTCATCAACGTGTGAAGTATGGCTTGTTAGACTTGAAAATAGGGAATAAATTATAGTTACCTCTAGCAACATATAATTCTGCATGTGCTTACTTGGTCAATATTATTATTATTATTACACATTTTCATACATCATAATAAAATGTTCTATATGGTTTACATGAAGTCATTTACAATAGCAGTATGCAATATTTCAGGTCTCTCTTGTACTATAAATGAGTCCTCGTGGCTCAATGGGACTAATCTGTTTAAATAAAGGTTGAATTAATTAATATTTATATTTTCCTGCTTGTTAAGAGAAGAATGGTTCTTCTTTCCTGCCTTCTGATGACACCGTTCTCGAGCCCGCAGGTCCAGCTCAACAACAGCAGCCTTGAGGTCCTCTTTATGGCATGTCCATATGTCAAAAAGATGGGATACTTCAATATTGCCTGTCCTGAGGCCTGGATTTGTTAAGCACTTCCACTGCTGAAGAAGCAAATGATGTCCTGCTACATCACTCCAGCTCCTACTATAGCACATATTGGCCAACTGTAGCATAATACAAATGCACAAAAGTGCCTTCAAGCTGACTCGGAAGACACAGTGCAAGATCAAGGCAGTGT